CCTATCCCTCTTCCTTCCTCTCTGTAAAAAATCAATAAAATATATATTTAAAAAAATAAAAATAAAAAAATAAAAACATCCATGATGAGAATCACTGATCAGCTGCCTCCTGCACGCCTCCTACTGGGGATTGAGCCAGCAACCCGGGCTTGTGCCCCTGACCGGAATCAAACCCGAGACCTTTCAGTCCACAGGCCGACACTATCTACTGAGCCAAACCGGCTCCGGCACATGTTCATTTTTATATGTAAGAGTAGATTTCACCCTCCTAAAAATGAACTTTTCTCCAGAATCTCCAAAGATCAATGGCTGGGACAGGATGAGCTTTGGGCAAGGAATGTCATTCAGGTGCGACAGGTATGGGGTCTGGAATGTCAACCCACTTGTTTCCCCATTACCCCACCCCTCAGACTCCCCTAATAGGCACATTTTTCCCTGCAGCCACTGCCCTGCCTGACTTTTCCTTCGATCCTTTCACTGGCCCACAAACCTCCCATTAATGCTGGAGCCAAGAGCCCCAGACTTTGGAAAATCCCACACCTTTCCTTCTATGCCAATTTCTGCCACTTCCTGTCTGTGACCAAGTCCCTTCACCTCTCTGAGCCTCAGTTTCTCCATCTGTTAAATGGGATCCTGAGAATGGAGAATTCAGGAGCCTTAAGGCCATGGGACTTGCAGGTGTGAATATTAGCTGCCCTGTGTCCTGCAGGGCAGAAGGGAGCCCAAGTCCCACCTCTAGGCCTGTCCCTCCGGGCCTCTCCCCAGACACAGGGCAGCCATTAAATGTGGCTTTTCAGACACAATTATTCTTCCCCAAGCCTTTTTCTCTTCCCTGCCTCCACCTTCCCCTCTTCCTGAATGACCATTTTTCCTGGCAGGGCCCTGACACTTTGCCCATGAACTTGTGTTCTAAAAGGAAAGAAAAAAAAAAAATGTAAGAAGCAAATCTTGCCAGCTGGGCAGGCCAGAGGGGCTGTGGGGACCAGGAAGTGAAACTGCCCCGGCTGGTTTCCTGCCTGAGTCAACAGGGGCATGGGGGTGCACAGGGGCCGGGCAAAGGGAGCGATCCTCAGAAAATTAGGGTGGGGGTGGCCACAGCTAGGGACTTTGTTCTCCCTCATCTGAGCCTCCAGGGTTGTCCCATTTCCCGTGAGTCTTGAGGACACGTGGGTTTGGGGTCAGGAGCTGTGGATGCCTAGACAGTGAGCTCACAGCCAGCTGGGGAAATAAAAGTGGCTTCTATTTCACTGAAACCCCAGCTCGCTGGCTGCCCTGGGAAAGGGACCACAAGGGTAGCTGGAATCCCCTTCCCAACTTCTTTCCTAAGAGGGCAGACTTGAAATGGGCCTAGGGACTTCCTCCTGGGGGCACCCTCATCTTCCCAAGGGCCTTTCTGACCTCACACATTCTCCTAGGATCACTGTGTGGCCTTGAGCAACTTTCTGACCCGCTCTGGGCCTCATTCCCCTTATCTGTAAAATCAGGGGATCAGAATAGAATCTTGGTTGTTAGGGTCCAGCCCCAACAGGTCCAGGAGTTCCCAAAGGTATGGACAGAGTCGGCGAAGAAGGAATGACACGGAGGCAGCGTTCAGTTGATCGTCATAGCCAGGTTTTGTGGGGGTTTTTTTCAGTTGATCAACATGGTTGGGTTCTCTTTTTATTGTCCTCTTACATCTGTATTTATACCATTTGATCCTGTAAGCATGCCTCTATAATCACATCATGGTATGTTTTGGGTAACCTTCTACAGTTCCTAGTTTCATTTCCATAATCCTGTCTCTATCTAGTTCTGTTGAGTTTAATCCTGTCTAGGTTAATCTCTGTGTTCTATTACAAGGGCTATTCCAAGGTCACTGCTCTACTGATAGGCTACAAGGAAGTGACTGAAGGAGATTATCCTACCCAGTAAAGGTTATGTCCTCCCAGCCTCGCTGCTTGCCTTCCCTGGGACTGCCCTGTGTCGGTGGATCTCCAGGGGTATAGGCTTTGGTGCTTTCCCTGGTGGGCAGACCCCTGGGGATGTGGGCCCAACAAGTCCCAAATTTATTGCCAACAGTTTTAGTCTAAGTTCTTCATAAGTCCTTACTCGGGGAGGTGGCCCTGGCTAGAACACATAGTGCTAAGAAGGGGAGCAAACATATTAAGAACAGTATGCCAGGTCCCTTGAAACGTATGCTGTGTAGATGTTTCTTCCCTGCAGCGACTATGTCAAGCAACAAGGATGGACCGGCTTCCGGCAAATTCCCCCATTTTTATTTTTTAAATGACAGCGCGTGTAAATTAGCGGCCACCTCTCGAATTGGGTTGTTTAAGACTCAGAAGAAGACTTGTCCAACAGGTCAGTCTGAGGCTTACCCCTATATCGGCTCCCCACACTTGGTATATGCCAAACTCAGTGCATTTGATCCCCAGCCAATGTGACAGGATCTGCTCACCCTCCCAGGCTTCTATCCTGGCCCTAGCCTTTCTGCTAGGGACATTGGGCAGGTTACCTGATCTTTCTGTGTCTCTGTTTGGTCACCCAGAAGATGGGAATGATGACAAATTAGTATCTATTATTAGAGAATAAAATAAAACATCTCTACTCTGTGATAACAGATTCTCAGTTCCTCCTAAACATCCTCTCTTCCACTGGCAGGGAGTGACTTCTCTGGTTCAGCATCCTGGGATGCCCACTGAAGCATCCTCAGTGAGAGGGACCTGAGCTTACTGGCACCATCACATACCAGATGCTGAAGGGGGTGGGGTGGCCAGGAAAAGCTGGACCTGGGTCGTTTTCCACCTGAAACATAGTCTTTGTGAAGGTCTCCCTTCCTCTCTCCTACCCGTTACTACTTCCTCAGGGGTCTCTTTTTCAAATCCTTTGCAGGAAAGGGATGCTCCACTAAGTCTAGGTTTTCCCAGTCTGGGTGAGCTCAGGCCAGGACTCCAACTCTCTAAGCCTCCGTTTCTTTGTCTGAGAAACAGAGACAACTCGCCCCACTTGTAGCTCTCTTGGAAGGCTTAAATGTGGCAACATACCTGAATAGCTAGAGCAGTCACTCCGTCCACTATTATTATTATTCAGGAAGTTTTTCTGTATTTTAGTCCACTATTATTATTGTTTCTGTTGTCATTATGGTGGGCTGTGGTTTCTCAAGGCCACAGTTATCGAATAGAAATTACAATGCAAGTTGCATGTGTAACTTTAAATGTCCTGACACCACAGAGAATGGAACAGAATAGCATGGGATGGGATGGAATAATAAAATAAAATTAAACAGGTGGAATTAATTTTAATGTTTTTAAAAATATTTTTTTATTGCTTTTAGAGAGGAAAGGAGAGGGAGAGATAGAAACATCAATGATGAGAGAGAATCAACCGATTGGCCACCTCCTGCACATCCCCCACTGGGGACCGAGCCCACAACCCAGGCATGTGCCCTTGACCAGAATCGAACCTGGGACCCTTCAGTCCGCAGGCCAATTCTTCATCCACTGAACCAAACAGGCTAGGGCTTAATAATGTATTTGTTTAACCCATATTTATCTAAAATATCATTTTTTAAATATATATTTTTATTGATTTCAGAGAGGAAGGAAGAGGGAGAGAGAGATAGAAACAATGATGAGAGAGAATCATTGATCAGCTGCCTCCTGCACATGCCTGCAACCCGGGCATATGCCCTGACTGGGAATCAAACCATGACCTCCTGCTCCATAGGTCGACACTCAACCACTGAGCCACGCCAGCTGGGCTAAAATATCATTTTAACATCTAATCAATAGAAAAAGTTCTTAATGAGAAACTTGACCCTTTTTTCCCCCCTCAGTCTTCAAAACGCACTCCGTGTTTAACAGCACAGCCCGATTCACGCCAGCCCCATTTCAAGGACTCAAAGGCCACTTGTAGCCAGTGATGACCCTATGCGACCATGCAGGTTAGAGGGAGCTTACTGGGTGGGGGGCTGGCCCGAAAGTGCCGCGGTGAAACTGGAAATTCCTGGAAGGTAGAAGCCAGTGTTTCCACATGAGGAGGGGCAGCAATGAGGCCACGTAGGGGCCAGTTTGGGTTTTTCCTGTTCTGTAGATCATGTCAACAGAGCGGGAGCAAAGCAAGAGCGGTTCAGGGATCACTCGAGGAGTTACAGATTTAGTGACTGCTGTTTGCCTGGTGCTGTTCAGGTCCTGGGTGTAAAGCAGTGCACCATTAGCGTCTTGGGGCTCCTGGTAGAGAGGGAGAAACCGAAATTAAACAACCGCTGAACTAAAGAAATGCACTGATCATGGAGAGAGGTGTGGCAAAGGGAAAATGCAGGATTCCCTAAGGACAAGGGGTTCGGGGTGGATAAAGACCAAAGATGTGGCCTGGAAAATCTGGGTCAGAAAAAATAAACACAAACACAGGTGGTCGTCTTTATCATGTATTAGGTCGAACCTAATGAAACTGCCATTTTAATAGGTCATAAATGGTCGAACATCAACAATTTCATGACTCAATGACATATTTGGGGCATAAAATGGATTGGGTCTTAGCTTCGGGCTCAAGGATGGGCTTGAATTGGGATCTATTTCTAGAGAGGAGGTCCGCAGCCCCCAGGAGCACCACTAAGGGGCCCGTGATCTCTCCCCAGCCCCCACCTTCCCACCCCCCAAGCTATCAATCAAAACGGCCCGGCGCCCAGGGGATCAGAGAGTTTCTCGCGTCACAGACCAGAGAAAAAAGGGGCTGAGCTGCTGCGCGGGGGTCCCGCCGCTCCGTCTCGCTCCCCGGCCGAGCCGTGTTGATTGTCCCCTCGCGGCGCCCGGAAGCGACCCTCAGTAAACAAAGCCGTATGTGGGCGCAGCTCCAGCTGCCCGGGGCGCGCTGTCCAGCCCGAGGGGGGCGGGGGAGGAATGTTGTGAATGAACCCAAGGCCCGCCCCGAAACTCGAATAAGGCCAGCGCCGCGGAAGTCCTCCCACTCTGATTGGCCTCCGGCGCTCCCTGATTGACAGTGCCTCTCGCTGGGCCCTCTTACTGGGCCGCTCCGTAAAGATAGGCGGCGCAAATAACGAATGAACAGCGGCGACTTGGAGTCGGGTCTGGCCGGGCCGCCAATGGCAGAGGAGAGCCTCGGAGGCCGACGGGGGGGCCAATTGGGAAGGGCGGCGGGGGCGGGACGAGGCGGAGGATAAAGCGGCGGCCGGAGCTGCTTCATTGTTGTGAAGAGTCTTAAAGGGGCCGCATCACCC